TTTGTATCCTTTCCAATAAGTAAAACATATACAAGTGGAATAATTTGTGAAGAATACATTCCATGGACGGTAAATAATTGATAATAATTTTTTGGACATATCTATGAAAGCAAGAGTTATTTATAAAAGTTGAAAAAAGTCATACATACACTAAAAGTACCGTCCATAAACCAATGTTTACACTGATTTAAAACCAATAGATTTTTATCACAAGTAAATATAACCATTGACTCATCTTCATAGAAAATGAAATTTTCTCCACGATCAGTTTGTCGTAATATAAGTGGTAAACGACCATTATGATCAATTTGAATAGCAGGTCGCTCACGACGAATTGTTTGTAATAATGCTTCGTTTGTAGGTAAATTAGCACTTACATTTAATGGTACTTTACGTAATACATCAAATAATATGGTAGCAGTTCCTTCATCTGATGAAGCACTACGTTCTTTAAGTTCATTTTTCAGCTGAATAATATGAAGTCGATTTGGATCAGGTGCATGAGAATGTTCAGTTGGTTCTTTGATGAATACTTTCGTTTCAATATTTGTTTGACAACGACCTAAGAAAAATAGTATCCAACAATGTTAAAACATCAGACTTAACAATTCATACTTCTACAATTTCGATCTTCACAACGAAATATACGTTTTTCTTCTGTAATTCGATGTTGAGTGTATAGATATCCCGAAAAGTAAATCATCGGATTTCCACGAGTACTCTTCAACACTTCAATTGTATTCATTTTTAAACGACTTTCCGAAGTTATTCGAGATCGAGATGACAACAATAACCGTGCACGTGATTAAATGACGAATAGAAAATTATTCTCGATATATGTTTAGAATAGAATAGAAAATATATACCGCTTATTCTTCATTGGCTCGTCAAATCACAATGATTCACAATACACAACATTCCATGTACAAGAAAAAAATATTTTTGAATCACTAAATACATTAATCCTAATAAACCTCTAAGATCAAATTTAGTTGGGACAAAATGTAACGGGACGAATTGTAATTCGGACGAAATGTAAGGAGACGAATTGTAAGAGGACGAAATGTAATTGGGACGAATTGTAATTGGGACAAATTGTAAGGGGACGAAATGTAACGGGACGAAATGTAATTGGGACGAATTGTAAGGGACGAAATGTAAGGGGACGAGTTGTAAGGGGACGAAATGTAGGTGTACCAAGAAAAAGATATGCACCATTGATGATGAGTTAATTTTGTATTTATAGCATTACGAAACTAAAGAATGTTTGTCAACCGATATGATCTGAACTGATTGAGAAAAAAAATAAAATTGATTCAGCATGTGAAAAAAAAACA